ATATATATATATATATACACTATACTGTATGCTCTGCTGTAAGGATTATGCAGGTGAAAAATCACGACCCAAGTGAACATTGACAACACTGTTTGGTGGCGATTATCTGCAGTGAAAGCCAGAAAGATTCTTTGACATGAGCAAACCAACTTAATTATTGTCTCATACAGAAAACTGTCTGGAAGCTAATCCATCACCAAAACTGGTGGAAAATGAGCTCCCACTAATCCTGCCAAAACATAACAAATTGTTGCAGTCAACAAACAAATAAGAATAGAAAAGCACTCCATGTTGTATATGCTGACGGATTGGTACATCAAGACAGTGGCTTTAAAACACTTTGAAACATAAAGTATTTTGTTTTATAAGAAAAATGAGCAATGCTCAGTCTTCAACAATACTTTATAGAAATACTGAAGAAATACTGTCTTCTTTAAAGCAGAAAATGAGAGTCTGGTCCTTTACTATTTAGTTTTTAAACCCAATCAATGCCTGACTACTATCTTACACTTGTTCATTTTACTATAAACAATCTACCCAAAAACTATTATAGTATAACAACAATTGTTGCTATTTAAGTATGATTGAACTAATATGGGAATATGACCAAACATATATTTGTTTGAATCAGCTATAATAAACGTTCTCATAATAACTATACATCAATGACCATGTGAAACAATCCAATAATGTGAAAGGGGTCTTCGTGTGATGAAGCTAGAGAGAATTATCAGCTAAATCTGCAGCTTTCAACAGCTTTATAGATCTTTATTTTCACCTCTTTGCTTAGATGTCCGGCCCAAAACGTCACTGTTTTGATTCATTCTCATCGCTCTCAAACTGTGGCATCATTTTGGGCTGCAACAAGTAGCTGTTTCAGTGAAAAAGCTCTAAAAACCCATGTACACAACCTGCTCAGTATCAAACAGCAGACAGACGGTTAGTGATTAGGTGTGAACATAGTGGAGCATTTCGCAGCTAAACAGCCAGTTATATCGGGAGTTGGTGGGGACCAAAAACGGAGCTAAAAAAGAAAGAATATTGCTGATGATATGTTATTATTGTCAAGCTGTTTCTGCTGCCCCCAAGTGGCCAAACTCAGTTGTTGCAGGTTTAAAGAAACAATTATTAAAACTTTTATAACAGCATTTGACATGGTATCTGTAAAAGGCAATACAATGTGAAAATCACTCCAACCCCATGATGTGCAGCATCTCCATTTACTTCAATTCAGAAGTATGCAAGTTTAAGTTTGCCCAACTGACAGGCACTTCAACAGTCAGTTGACTAAAGGTCCTCTCTCTCAGGATTCAGTGATAAACTGAGGATGAGAAGAAAACATCCCTGGATTAAGGTTGCCCGCTTGCTGCCCTTTACTGTGACCTTCTCAGTGCTTCAGTTTATTCAGGCCTCTATGAGCTTTCCTTTTCCACATTATGCCTGACTGGGTCTTCACATCCAGCCTCTCCGCCATTTATTCTGGTCTCTCACTCAATTACTTATCTGTCTCACTCTGTCTATTGCTTTATCTATATCACATACACCCAAAAATAAGTGCATCATACAACTTGGGTAATTGTCAACATTTCTGCAAATGTAAAGAAACGTCAGCAGGACACTTAATGTCCCATAGCCATAGCATAGCATGCACTCATGTACTTCTAACTGAACTAGTGTCTTTGTTTCCCCACCAGACTTCTCCATCGTTCATCAATACATTCAACGTTTTAATGAGGTGTCCGGCAACAAGACAGGTGAAATGAAAGAGCAGTTTTATTTTCAAACATAGAATGTGTTTTTTTCCATGCAGTACTGTACTATTTGAATACAATACTGAGCTACATCCATTATTATGAATAATGGAATATATATTGAATAATACATTAGGTAATATTAAATACTGTGTTTGCTTGTGACCTGTCCTGTCTTTGTGTTGATAATCTGAAGTATCTATTTACTACCGTGTCAAATCAGTCGCCCTTAGTTCCACGTTTGACTGGTTCTCCTATTTCAGTCCTTGTCAGAATAATCGTTAATCCCTGGATTAATGTTGTTCTTCATCGACTCTTGTGTGATCCTCTATCTGTGCACATCCAAACCCTGATGTGAAAGTGAATATGTATACTATAGCTGAAACAATCAGGAGATTAATCAATTAGTCGATCAACAGAGTAACAATCTGCAACTATGTTAATCAATTCATTGTTTTAAAGGACCTGTGTGTAGGATTCAGTGGCATTTATTGATGAAGTTACAGACTGCAACCATTTGAATACAGCTCAGCTTTCCAGGCATGTAGGAGATCTATAACATGATTATCCTGATTTATGCTAATGAGCAATGAGCTGGCACTGCTGGTATAATTTAGGAATAGCGGACACCTATACTCTGTAGCAACATGCAGCTGTCACTGTAGTTGAAGTGACTTTTCAGTAAACTCAAACAACAGGAATATATTGGGCTTGTATGTACATAGTTACTTTACCTTTTTTTTTATCTGAGATTTGTGTGCAGCACTTCTCATTTGTTTAGTCGTAAGAAAGTGTTTCTGTCACAAACACAAACATAAACACAAACACATACTTTTGACATTCCTGACATCTAACTGGTAGCAAAAAAGAAATCTATCAAAAGCAGCACTCCTATTTGGTCTGAATATTTATGTCCTGAATTGATTTTGGTTTTGGTTTGGTTTGTTTTTAATTGCAGGTTATAAAATACTTTACTTCGCTCATAATTAACTGGTTTTTATTGTAATCTTTGCTGGCTTTGTTTAGCTGTCATCCGGAGAAGATCGAAGATTCCTGGAGTAATGATCACGCAGTATGTAGTAAACATGCCAGAGGGAAAAAGCACCCCAGATTTCCAGTGTAAACCAATCCCAGTAACCGTTAAAGAAGGTGGGTTTAATTATGACACAGCACAAAAATTGACATATTTATGCAATTGTACAGTCACATAACACAGTACCTCCAACCTCCGTTGATTAAGACTGCTTAACTTTAACCTGCTATGCACAACTCTTTGCACAATATTTCCATATTATATCCTTCAGGGAAATTAGCTGTTTTCAAGGCCATGGTTACAGGGGATCCAAAACCAGAGGTGTCATGGAGAAGAACCAAAGGGACAATTTCAGACAAGGACAAATTTCAGAGTAAATATGATGAATCAACTGGAGAGCATATATTAGAGGTGAGTAAATTATTTTACCAATAGTAAAACTCCTTTGAGAAGATACTGCTTGAACTTTTAACAGCTTATTAACACTGTACAGTATTAAAGTAAGAGCTCTCTGTTATGTGAATTCAGTCTTGTGCATCAGATAATTTGCTTGTATTTCTAGATTCACAAAGTGTCTGCTGTGGAAGCAGATACATACAAATGCTATGCTGTGAACGAATATGGCAAAGCTGTCTGCACAACAACACTGAATGTGACTGAGGGTAAGAGTTGTTCACACAATACAGCTGAAAAAATGACCTGTGATATGTGTTTTTACTGTGAATGTCAAGGAGTTGGTAAGTCTATAACTGGTATTGTATTTTCCTTTAACACTTATTCTCATTTAATTGCAAGTGCTTTGTATATATAAGTACTGAGAAACATGTCATCATGAGCAACTCCTACCAATGTGTAGTTCCCCCATAGCTTTATCTGACATCAAATCTACAGCAAAGTTGTCAAAGACATTAACGAAGAGTGAATTTGCTGCTTTCAGCTTCAACAAATCCATCAGATTTCAGAAAACTGCTGCGGAAAAGGTAAGAAAACAGGTATTATGATAGTGAGATATTAAAATACCTTACCAGATATTTCTGCATGTGTGTGGATTTTATCACTGATTCTTGTGTGGCTGTCAACACTTTTGCTTAATACATTCAGTAAAGTAGAGCAAAACCAGGAAAAACAAGCAGATGGTGAAACTGATAAAAGATTCTGGGACACGATGCTGAACGCTGACAGGAAAGACTACGAGCGTATCTGTACTGAGTTTGGTGTTGCAGACTTGGATTTGATTCTTAAGAAACTGGAGGAGAAGAAGAGGGACAGAGTGCCTAATATGTATAAGGTATGAAAATTGTCAGTTCTAAAAGTAAATGCATCATCTCCTGCTAAATCATCAGTGTAGTTGTTAACAAGCTATCATGGATTTCACATTTCACTAGACATCTGGCTCAAATTAAAGTCATTTTCATTCTGAATATTCAACAAACATATTTTTGTGTGTTGTGATAGCTTAATAGTTAAAATGCAGATATCAGTTAAAATTAGCGGGAGAACTGTGTCTCAAATATTAACTACTGACAAATTATCAGTTTTTATTGCTCATTCATCTAATTAATTCTGCCTCTTCCACTGCCATCTCAATCAGCTGTTTCCATTGCTTGTCAGTATCATAAATCAGGTATGTTAGAGGACTTTGCTTTATTAGAGCTAGAAATTGTGCTTAAAGAAGCACAGTGAGACAGATTAAGATCTGTTGAGCTCTTTTAAAGTATTACATTGACTGTCTGTAATTACTCCCTATTTGCTATATAGTGAATGTTACCCTCTGTCCATGATATGTACACTGCTCTACGCTAACAATACCACAGTACAATGTGCCAAATGTTATAAATAGACTTCACCACCCATGTGAAGCTTCAGCAGTAAAATACTATCCTATTATTTATTTATATTTCTTATATAATTAATATAGTTATTTTAAAAGAATAAGTGAAAAATGTTCATCAGTTTGTGATTACTGAAATACAGTTTATATACTCACCTTTTTTTGTTTTGTTTTTATCAGAGCTATCCTTTGACATTTTTTAAAAACATGCACAATATAGAGTATGTTGAAATGATCTTTTTTTAATAGTCTAGAAGAAGTAGAATAAAAAAGCTTTAAGTTATCTGTAACTCGTCTGTGTACTTGGTAGGATGGTGTGATTCCCTATGATGAAGATGCAACAGAGAAAAGCAGCCTAAAGCGTGCTGGGAGGACAGATTTTAGAATCAAGGGCCTGATGCAAAAGGACACCGGGCTAAATCAGGTGGATGAAGATGTCAACCTTCTCAACACAGGCCTGAATCAGGTGGATGAAGACGTCAACCTCTTCCCTGCAGACTTTAAACGTAGGTTGAAGAAAGGAACATTGGAACTGAAAATCTTTACAAATCAGAAAATTCTTTGGGCGCATGGGAGCTCAACTGCTAAGGCGAGGGATTCCAACCTGCGGCTCTTTGCTGAAGGTTGTCCCCGCTTTCTCTCTCTCTCTCTCTCTCTCCACCCTTTCCTGTCTATCTTCACCTGTCCTAGATATAGATAAAAAGGCATACAAATATCTACAAAAAAAAAAAAGATTTATCATTGTCCCTGTGTATCCATCCAGTGTCTCTGATCTCTGAATTTAAAGTAGAAAATTATACAAATCTTCAGGACAGCTTGCATTTAAAAACGCACAAATATTGTAGGGAGACCCCACCACAGTAATGGCAACTTGTTTACTTCAGGTACTTGCTTGGATTTGTGTATACATATCACCTATTCATTTTAGTAGCTTTGTCTAACAAACTGAATAGATAGTTCACTGACTTCCCTGTATTTCTTTTACAGTTTCCAATGTGGACTTTGTTATCAAAATTCAGGAGGTTAATGCTCAAGAAAGAGAGGCTGCCCTTTTTGAGTGTGTCCTGACACACCCTCTACCCCGAATCACATGGATGGGCAAGGGCAGTGTCCTGGAGGATGGAGAGAAATACAGCATAACCGTGTCAGACCACAAATTGATCCATAGGCTGATGATCAAGGACTGCAAGCAGCTGGACAAAGGCATCTATTCAGCTGTAGCTGGCATTACATCCTGCAGTGCCTGGCTGGTTGTGGAAGGTAACATCTTACAGTATAATGCACTAATAATCAATTTGTCAAAGTGTGCTGAAGTGATCCTTATTACTGCCATAATTATGAGTTATGTGTCATGTATAATGTATTTTATATCCTCTAAGCTGAGAGTGACCCTGCGTCTGCTGGTAAGAAGAAAGATCGTAAAACTACCTTGGCTGGTGGAGCACGGGCCGACCTTGAGAAAGTGGCAATAGAACAACAAATAAAAAACCGAGAGGAAATGGAGAAGATTTTAGCATCTGTAAAAGCAAAATATGAAGGAGGACAACAGAAAGACAAGAAGACATTAACCACTAGTGAAAGAGATGGTGAAATAACTGCAGTCACTGGACCGGGTAAAGATAGCAGAGCAGTAAAGGACAACCCTAATGCCACAAAAGCCAGTGCCATGTCTGACTCAACAGGGAGCAAAGATAAAGCAAAGATCCACAACTCAAGAGGAGATGGCACAGTTACAGCATTAGATAGAGAGAAAGAAATGCAACTGAGAGTACATGAACCTAAGAACAAGAAACACACTAGATCTGGTCAAGCGGATTTTGACAAGGTAACAGGTAAAGTCGATCAATGCCTAAGAATGCATTTTCACCATCAGCACTGCAGTGAGTAGTCAGTTGTGTTTTAAAATTTGTGTTTATGCTGTGTGTTTGTGTTTTGTTATTTCAAAAGAATAGGAGAGTGGACTAACTTAATATAATTGACATACCACAGATACAAATGAAGGAGGATATTCCGAAGAGAATGATGACTTCAATGAATCTGCCAATAATTCAAGACACATAAAACATGGTCAAGAGACAGATAATAGAGAAATTGGTAAGACAACTGCTCTTAATATCCCTACTTATGTAAATGGTCCATTTCTTTATGGTTGACAACATTTTTAAAATGTGTTTGGTTAACATCCATGCTTATTTTTTGTGTCTGTTCAGAATCCAGCAGCAAAAATGTTGATGTCCAATTAAGCCACAAACACAACACAAAGAAGGTCCAATGGAAACCAGAAACATCTGGTAAGATACAGAGCCAAAGAAAGGATCGAATGTCCGTTCTTAAAAAATTCACGGCGCAATTCACTGCAAGAAATTGTGCTTTGTTCTAATAACAAACCTGTGAACTTTTATCATGATTGGATCTCAGCTACAGATGGTCTTTGCCCTTTAGTGCTTGGATTAAGTGTGATATACTGAGAAGAGCCCTTTAACTTGCTGTCAAATTTCATGGGGCCACCACTAGGCTTTCTTAGCACTGCGTTTGCTGTTGAACTTCAAAAGGAGACCGGGAACAACACTACAGTTAATGTTGATATATTGACAAACAATAAGACCACAAAAGACGAGTTGTGTCTAGGTTGCAATGTAATAGAATGTAATATTGTATTGATTGTATGGACTGATTTTGCATAATGCTTTCTAAATATAAGCAGCTGAGTGATAATATGACAACATCTGTCAACATTAACTATGAATCTTGATGAGAAATCAGCCGTTTACCACCTAATTCAGCATATAATGCTGTTGGGTTTACTGTTTTTTGCACCAAAGATGAGAAGAATTGTAAATCCATTTGTCGTTCCGGTTATGGTTCATTGCGATGCCTTTGAAATCCATAATCCATAACTTTTAAATTACAGATGTAAATTTAAATTATCGATCAGGTAACGTAAACACAACTACTCTACTAACTGAAGTGCTCCACACAAAACACCTGATCAACATCACTCAGAGATTAAATTCAATTGTATTATATCTGACATACCACAGATAAAAATGAAGGAGGATATTCTGAAGAGAATGAGGACTCCATTGAATCTGCAAATAATTCAAGATACATAAAACATGGTCAAGAGACAGAACACAGAGAAAATGGTAAGATAACGTAGAAATGTAAAAAATGTACTGCTCTTCATATCCACATCTATGTAAATGGTAATATTTGTGATTGACAAAATGTTTCGAAAAGTTAGCGGTAGAACGGTTCACAAAATTTACAGTTCGGCTCATTATGGTTTTGGAGTCACGATTTTCAGTTCAGTACAGTCTGTTTTTGTACAGCAAGCCATTTTCAATATGTTTTTCATTTATTTGGCAAAAAAAGTTGTTTGCCTTAAAATTCTGGCTAATAACATAAGAAATATAAACACTTCATTGTCAAATCTTTATTAAAATAATGTGTTTTTTTAAGTAGTTCAGACACAAATGCTGATTTATTTTTATATAAAATGACCACATTACTAATCACAAAAATATTCGAGAGAATAGGCTACATCACTACAATAAGCAATACAATACATTACTTTATATAGTAGATTAATTCAATACTTAAGTTACAAACTACTGTAATCTGCTCACTTTGCTGATCCCCACCCGTGACTCTGTTGACTTTAACAACAGCAGGTGCTTCAAGTGTGTGTGGAGGAGGCTTGTCGTTAATCAATCCAAACCAACGTTGTACCGAATTACATCAGCACCAGCTGTTTACTGCTGTTTACTCCTGCTTTACCTGGTCCGTGATTGTAAAATTGCTACCGTATCTGCACTGTGTTTCTCTGGGGATCAGTGTGATTAACACTACTTACTGGGAGGGAGAGATGCTTTACTGAAGCAAAGACGCAAAACACAATGTTACCTCATAGCCCATTTCAACTGAACTGAACACTACATACACGCTCCAACCCGTGACTAGCAAACCGAACAGTTCAGATTTTTTTTACTCAAACCGTTCCATCCCTAAGAAACATGTTTTGCTCAGTTAAAATCCATACTTATTTTCTAAACCGTATTTATTCTTTCGTGTGTTATATCTGTGCAGAATCCAGCGGCAAAGGTGTTGATGTAGAGTTAAACCAAATTCAACCACTTTCGACAAGTCAAAATGAAGTGATTGATTCTGATGGAAATATAGACTATACTCGGTCTGTCAGACGCCAAAGGCACACAGGGAAGGGCCAACGGAAACAACACACATCCGGTAAGAAACAACAAGGAACATACTGACTGCTAGAGGTGTGAATCTTCACTGGCCTCACTATTCCATTCGATTAGGATTCTGTCAGTGATTCAATGCATTTAGCTCAATGTTGGTCCTTATTTCAATGCAAGAGAACGTTGTTTAAAACTTAATTGTCTAGCCAAAGACGGATAATCAACAATCAATGTCAGTAGGCCATAATTTTGGCTGTAGGTTGCAAATTACAGATTATGTTGTGTCACTGCATCAATGTAAAACCTTCCTCATCCTCAACACGATGCATTTTAAAATTGAGAAATGTCCACACTTCTATTAACTGCATGGAGGAAAGTTACCCCTCACACTTATCAGATATGCTGTATAGTACAGTACTGACAGAAGAAACTGAGTGAGAATCTAAAACATTTCTAACAGCACAATTTTATCTTTATTTAGCATAGGTAAATAAAATGTTAAAAATAATAAACTGCAATGCAATAGTGTTCTGAACTTACGGAAAAGCCACTGTGTAAAGCTGAGTGTATACTACCTGAAGTCTGTGACTACAACACAGATCCAAATGAGCTAGCAAGTGATGATGAAGCAAGTGACAGTGATGACAATGAAGACTCTACTGGCCAGAAGAATTCAGGTTCTTCAAAGGAAAGCCAACAGCCACAGAAAGCAGTCAATGGTAAGAGACCACAATTGGTAGTAGTACGGGTTAATGGTTAGAAAATAACTTAGTTAATATTGTTTAACAGCTTGTTCTTTCATGAGTGGAAGTGGAGTGGAGTTAGTCACTTATAAACCTGTATATTCTTGTTGTCTATAGGCAGAAATAGCTTCATCTGCATAGTTTGTCTGTTTTCAAAGATGCATGTTTAATGCGTTTGCTTACTGACTAGTTTATTAAAGCCCCACATACTGTACAACTCTATTGAGATTGTCAAAAGTATTGGTACTTAGATACTTTTTTCAATACCACTTGTATAAAACGATACAACCTCCATAGGTTTGATAGTATCGAAAGTACCAAAGCTATCAGGTCTACAATCAGATTTTCAATTGCACTCTGCTCTGCAGAAAAACACAGAGACAGAGACAGAGAGAG